CATGGGCAGCAGGAGATTTCTGGTCTGGCAACTTTGGTCTGGGAGGAATCTTGGTCTGTCTGGAATATTGGGAGTGGGAATGGCAGTTGCAGCATAGGCCTGAAAAAGCAAACAACAGTCCTTCTCCCTAGATGATAAAGCCTGGAAGCTTTGGCTTTCTAGTGCACTTGGTGGGTCAGCGTGGGCAGTCCATGTGCAGCAATAGCTTCCTACAGTGGCACCATTTTTTTTGGGAGGAATCTTGGTCTGTCTGGAAGTTTTCGAATCCAAATGGAAGTTTCAGTTCAGGACTCAAAGAAGCCAAAAACAGTCCTTATGCCCAGGAAAGAAAGTCTGGAACCTTCGGCTTTCTGGTGCACTTGGTGGGCCAGCCTGGGCATTTCGTGGGCAGCAAGAGCATTCTGTCCTCGCATCTTTGGTCTGAGAGGCATCTTCGTCCGTATGAAATATTGGGAGTGGGACTGGCAGTTGCAGCGCAGGAGTAAAGAAGCAACCAACAGCCCTTTTCCTCAGGAAAGAAAGCCTGGAAACTTTGCCTTTCAGGTGCAGGTGGTGGGCACTGCTTTTGCATTAAGAACTTTCTCTCCTGGCACCTTTTATCTGGGAGGAATCTGCATCTATATTCAATTCCGGCATTCGGAGTGGCAATTTCACCACAGGGCTCAAAATAATCAAAACACTGATTGCAAACTAGCCCATGAAACTTCTTGCTAACTGGCAATGTCTTTCAAGATGTAATCTAGAATACGTGGCTTATGCTTTATCATTACGTGAGATGCCAAAGGAAAGAAAAAGGTTTCACCACGTTCTTATAAAGCTCTGAACATAAATTCCATTATCTAACTGCCTTCCTCAATTAGAGAAATGGCTACTCTTGTAACATAATCTGTCCTGGACCCTGGTAAGGATGTACTTTTGCCCAGACCCCTTGCTCTACATGTTCCAGCTACACCAAAACAAACAAGAGATAATCTCATCCAAGTCAAAAATCAGCTGTTATGGCAGTTGACACTCTATGGGGTTTAGCACTGGAGCCGAATCTCTGTGGGATCTCTGGTACAGAACAGTGTATTTAATGAATGGTGCTGTTGCTGAACTTCCTTGGGCAAGTTGCAATTGGCTACTGAGGCCAGAAGATTTCCTCTAAGGCTCTTTATCTTTTGAAACTACAGGCTGAATTTTAGGGATAAACTGCAGTATTCTGAAAGTGGAAAGTTGATAAAACAGAAAAGAGTGTTTCTTCTACAACAGATTTGAAGTAGTCCACTTGTAAAAATCACAAGCTTGAAGCTTGCTAAGCATACCTGATTCCTCATCTCCACTGATCATCAGGAACTAGACTCTCTCCTATTTCAGGGTCTCATCTGCGTACACTGTATTAAGGCCTCATAACGTCTTAAGAATAGTAGTGTTATAAGCTCACATTTCTGGAAAGGTTCCCTTAGCAGATGGGTTGAAAAGCAAAACTTTGGTGTATGCTCTGAGCTCTGTGCTCTTTTGTAACCACCTGTCCAACTGTCACCCCAGCACTGCCTCAGGAACCCCGAAACCATGTCACTCATCGCCAGATCCAGGCACCTCTGAAACACCTCCCGGGGTTCTGACTCCACCTGGGCAACCCGTTCCAGTGCCTGACCACCCCAAAAACACAGCGAGAAACATTTCTCCAGGACCTGACCTGAACCTCCCGGCCTCAGCCTCAGGCCATTTCCCCCGGTCCTCCCACCGCACGCTCCTTTCCAGCACACCCCTCGGCAGAAGGCGGCTCACGGCTCCCCTCTGCCCCCCGGGCCGCCTCCGCTCCGGCCCCGCTCCCGCCACGGCCCCGCTCGGCTCTGCATCGGGAAGGAACGCGCCCAGCCCCGGCCCGACACCCCGCGGGGACGCGCACCGAGGGTCCCTCCCCGGGGGTCACTCTCCGGGAGTTCTTCCCCGGGGGTCACTCACCCAGGGGATCGCTCACCGGGTGTCCCTCACCGGGGGTCACTTACCGGGCGTTGCTCACCGCGGGTCCATCACCGGGGGTCACTCTCCAGCGGACACTCGCCGGGGGCCACTCACCGGGGGCCGCGCACGGGGGTCCTTCCCCCGGGGGCCGCTCACCGGGAGGTCCCTCCCCTGGGGTCACTGCCCGGGGCTCTCTCTCTGCCCGGGGGTCGCTCACCGCCAGCGCTCCCGGCCCCGCCCGCTCCAACCCAAACCCCACCAACCGACCCTCTCGGACCCGCCCCCGGCCCGCCCAATCCCCGACTCGCCCCGCCCACTCCGCGCCCTCCCATTGGCTGCGCACGTTCGCCCGTGGAGCGACCAGCGCGCGGGGAGCGTTGCCTGGAACCCGGACAGGGAATCCCGGGAATCCTCCAGCCAGCGGCGCTGCCCCGCCACTCCTGGGCGAGCGGCCGTGCCCGAGCGGGGAAGGGGCAATCAGCGCGCGCCTGCGGCCGCCAGAACGGGCAGGGAAGCAGCCGCGCTTCAGTCCCGTGCTGTGACCACTGCCCTGGGGAGCCTGGTCCAGTGCCCAACCACCCTCGGACAGAAGAACCTTCCCCACATATCCAACCTAAACTCACGTGAAAAAAACCTAGTCGCAACCAAAAAGAACAAAAAGTATCTACTTTCTTCCTTCCCCTTCTCCTTATTTGGTGCTTACACAACAGTACTTCAGTGCCCTACTGGCTCAAAAATGAAACATTGTAAGTCCTTCCCGTATATGCTGGATTTTGTCTTTTATGCAGTGGCTAATCTGTCCGGAGTCCACCAGGACTCCCAGAGATTCTAGAAGGGCTGGAGGCTATCGCAGGAGGGAACAGAGGTGCGGATATATTCCGTGATATTCTACTCTAGAGGCAGCTCAAGAGACAGCCCTGGAGTTGGAAACACTTGCCTTTGTCGCTGGACGATCTTGTCCAGCACCACACAAAGATCTTCTCCTATGGCAAAGCCACAGCTCCTGGGAGCCATGGATTGAGAACTGGTGTCTCGGGGACAGTAGCTGCTGGGCCACCTGCTCCTGGGAATCTTACACTACAATGGCCTGGGCTCCCACTCTTACTTGCAGCCTTTTCCTGGCCATGTGCATCCTCAGCGAGGAGTGGGCTCTGCTAATAGAGGGAGCAGGGACTCGTATCCGTGGGGGCTTTTCCAGACTGACACTCTGACAGACACTCTGGTCAGGATGAAGGCTCTGGCCAGAAGTAATCCATGTATGCAGGAGATATTCCCTTTCTTGGTCCTCCGCAGATGGATAAATAGAGTGCCCTGGGGATGGGAACAGCTGCCTTTGCTGCTGGAGGACCTTCTCCAGCACAGCGCGGAGTCTCTTCTTGTGTTGCAGCATCCTGAGAGCCATGGATTGGGCACCGGTGGCTCCAGGACTCTTTCACCTGTGCAACTTGTTGGTGGGAATGCCCTCCTTGGAGCCTGCAACAGGCTCGGGACTTCCAGGCTTTCCCTTGCCAGATGCATCCTCAGGGATGAGATGGGTCTATTGACGCCTGTGGCTCCAAGGGAGAAAGGAGACCTGTCCACAGGGATTCACTCCCCTGCCTGGACTGCAGCAGCTCTCACAGAGGCTCTGGGAGGGGTGGAAGCTCCTGCCAGAAGTCAGAGAGGTGCAAAGATATTTATCTTGTCCCCCACAGCTGAATCATGAGAGCACCCTGGAGATGGGAACAGCTGCCTTTCCCACTGGAGGATCTTGTCCAGCACCGCACGGAGGCTCTTCCCATATGGCATTGCCATGGCATCCTTGCAGCCATGGATTGGGCACTGGCAGCATCCCCTTGCTAGTGTGTCCTTCTCATTGCACATCTTTGTCCAAATCTTCCTGTTGGTTTCCCATACCACGTGCTTTGGAATACAGGCATTTCAGGAGGGGTCCCAGGAGGACAGTCCACAGTCATGTCTTGTAGGCTCGTGAGAAGAAGAGAGCTCTGCTGAACAGAAGCAAAAATGAAACAAAAATCTAGAAAAACATTTACCGGTCTCATCTTAAAGCAGAAGTGAAATCAGTGCGATAGAACATCCAGCCCACTACAGTTTTCATGACAGCTATGATACAGCTTGGAAGTCACAGTTTTAACCAGGAAATGCAAAATATCCATGTGCTTCTCCTAGTAAGTTTTCTTAAACTCTTCCTTTCTATTTCTGTCCTGCTTCCTGGCATACAAAGTTTGTCTGCAGATCAAAGAAGGATAGACTCAAGCTTGTACAGTAACTACATTTCTTGAGTTCATCCACGTTACCAGGCTGTAAATATTCCTGACTTATAATCCTTAAAACATCACCTTTCCAAGGGAGATTATTAACAGGAAAAATAGCTAACCTGAGTCATGGAAGAATAAGTGAGTTTTTTCAATTCTTTCCGTATTTCAATAGTCAAAACCTTGAAGCCCTTTTCACAATAGAGACATTTGTATTAACAATGTTACCATATGTCACTTGTCTTCCTACAATAATCCAACCAAACTAATTTGTCACTGCTCCAAGTAATTCCCAGCAGCTTTTGCTGTATTTTCCCATCATATGTCTCTTTGAGATAACCTAAAAACTACCATTTTCAAACACTGGCATTCCTATATTTGAAACTCCCAGCGTAGCACAGGGATTTGGTAGCTGCAGACATACACAGATCAAGGGTTGAGAAATTAAGGCAGGAAAAGCTCTCTGCCTTCCCCTCCCTGCATGTTTCTCTCTGCAAGTACAAGTGGTGCCTGTCACTGTTTCCAGATTTTCTCATTAAAAGCGAAGATTTCTTGGCTCTCCTTGTTCAAGGGAATGCAGAAAAAGGCATCTCTTAAGCCTAATACTTTGAACTATCCTAGGTTATCATTTAAGGTAATTCTCTCAGGTCCTGCACTAATCCATCATCTTTCCCATTTGCCTTCTTTACAGGTTCTTGCATTCACATTCTACCAGCAAACCCTGCTTAGCAAAGTTGGCTATTACTGGAACCAATCCAGCTTGGCTTTCTAATGTTAAAGGATACTGTGTTTGCTTTACCAGTTGACCCAGGGTTTCTTTCAAAACTCCTGCTTGAGTTTTTTCCCCTTTATCACTATGAATGAGGAGCTGGAAGGGTGAGGGAATTGGCCAGCCAGCTTTCCCTGGCCCTGAGGGGATGGCCAGCGACTGAGCTACACTTAAGAAGTGGCTCGTTGCTCAAATACCAGCCTGATAGCTTCGGTAGGGAGGAAAGTAAGGGTTTTTCTTTTCCCGCACGCCCACCCTGCCGACCATATGAGTCACTGCAGCCTTGGCTTTCCCGAGGCACAACAGCGTCACCTGGTGACCGGGAGAGAGTCCCCGCAGCCCTGCCTCCCGAGGCGCCCGCGCACCCTGCTCGGTGCGGTCTGACTGCGCCGAGAGGCAAAAAATTACTTAATTTACTGAAGTTTCGATTACGGTACCGTTCCTTGTTCATTTTGGGCTCCGCGGGCGGGGCCGGGGGGGGGCAAATCCTGCGGGTTCGGTCTCAGAAATAGACCCCGAGGCCTATAGAGATCTCTGGGTCTATATACATCTATATAGATCTGGGTCTGTAGGTTCATATAGATCTCTGGGTCTGTTTCTGCACCTGAGATGCTTCACCCCGGACGGACACAGCTGGAACTACAGAACCCATGGAAAGCTTTAACAGGTGGGTCAGACTCGAGGTGCCCTGAAGGCAGGGATGTGCATCCCTTTCCTCAGGGAAAAGAACTTCCAGAGGCCACTCCTGAGGCTCTGAAGTGACAGCAGCTTCCTGCACGGAGAGACGTCCTCGCCTGTGCTCAGGTGCTGCCTCACCACGTGCCGGGAGCGCATCCCACCAAATTCTCCTGGGTGAACACATCCCCTGGAGCCTGACCTCAGGGGGTGAAAATCAGCTGAATTCCAGGGAACCTGGTCAAGTCCCCCGCAGGGACATCAGCAGGGCTGGGGAAGTAGGGTTATAAACAGCAAATTCTATGGACTATCAACCTGTCTTGATCCCACTGAGCTTCCCTGGAATGCTGGCTGGTTCCTGACAAACCTGGCGTTAAAGCAGCAGCTCTGCAGGGGAATATCTGGGCTCCATAAGCCACTGTGAGGCTGTTCCAGCAGGAATTCACCATTGAAGAAGCCAAGAGCCAAAAGCAAATCCCAGGCTGGTGGGCAGCAGTTGGATCCACTCTGGGGGAAAACACCCTGCGCCTGCCAGGAGCTCTGATTGTGTTTTTCCTGCCAGCTCCTGATCAGTGTCAGGGCCACAGTGAGGGATTCAAAATCCAAATAAACCTCAAAACCTACAGCATGAGTAATCCAAAGAAACTCACTGTTGTCATAAGAAGATTAAAAATCAGTTAAAAATTCCATGACAACAATACTGGGATTCCCTGGAACCTTATTAATGCTCTTGGTTCCATTTTAATGCATTTTTAGTCCCTCAATTTGCAGCTTGTAGAACTTATCCTGGGATTTACAGGTTGAGCAGGGTTTGCTTTGGATTAAGTTTTACCTCCGGCCCCAATTTGTGCAAACACAACTAGGATCAATGTGGTTAAACACATTTTCCTACAAAAACAGTTGCTCTGCCCTCTCTAAATTATCCCAAGATTTCAGCTAAAAATTTCACCCCTGTCCTCCCTAAGTCACCCCAGGTGTTCCCACTTGGGAGCTAGAAGGAAGCTGTAAATTCAAAGGCAGAAAAAGAAAATCTACAGCAAAAGACAGAAAAAATTGAAAACTTTCAGAAAACATTTCTGAATAATTAATTAATAATTACTCCCCATTTCCCAGTGAAAAGAACAAGAATGCGCAGCCATTAGGGCCTGAGAGTCCCCTGCCACCAGAGTGACAATTCAATCATCTAAAAGAAAAAAAAAAAAAAAGGTAATTTAGTTTGTTTTAAAGTTACACTAATTTCTTAAAATCAAACAACATTTGCGTACGATTTTTGATTTTTGACTGACAGGAAAGAAAGCCTGGAACCTTCGGGCTTTCTGGTGCACTTGGTGGGTCAGCCTGGGCACTCCATGGGCATCAAGAGATCTCTGTCCTGGCATCATTGGTCTGGGAGGAATCTTGGTCTGTCTGGAATGCTGGGAGTGGGAATGGAAGTTGCAGAGTAGGCCTAAAAAAGCAAACAAAAGCCCCTCTCCCTCATGAAAGAAAGCCTGGAAGCTTTGGCTTTCTGGTGCACTTGATGGGTCAGCCTGGGCACTCCATGGGCAACAAGAGCTTTTTTGGTGGTATCTCTGCTCTGGGTGGAATCTTCATTTTTATGGAATTCTGGGAGTGGAACTGGAAGTTTCAGTTCAGGGCTCCAGAGACGAAACAAAACCTCTTATTCACGGGAAAGAAAGCCTGGAAGCTTTGGCTTTCAGGTGCACTTGGTGAGCCAGTCTGGGCAATCCATGGGCAGCATGAGCTTTTTTGGTGGTACCTTTGCACTGGGAGGAATCTTGGTCTGTGAGGAACTTTAGGGAGTAGCACTCGCAGGTTCAGTGCAGGGCTCCAAAAACTAAACAAAAACTCTTATTCACAGGAAAGAAAGTCGGAAGCTTTGGCTTTCTGTTGCACTTGGTGGGTCAGCCTGGGCACTCAATGGGCAGCAAGAGCTCTCTCTGTCCTGGCACTTTGGTCTGGGAGGAATCTTGGTCTGTCTGGAATATTGGGACTGGGACTGGAAGATGCAGCGCAGGGCTGAAAATGTGAAAACAGCTCTTCTTCCCAGGAATGAAAGCCTGGAACCTTTGGCTTTCTGGTGCACTTAGTGGACCAGCCTGGGCAATCCACGAATAGCAAGAGCTTTTTTTAGGTGCTACCTTTGCTCTGAGAGGAATCTTATCTGTGTGGAATTTTGGGGAGTACCACTCGCAGTTTCAGTGAAGGGCTAAAAAAACTGAACAAAAGCTCTTATTAACAGGAAAGAAAGCCTGGAACCTTTGGCTTTTTGGTGCACTTCATGGGTAACCCGATACAAATGAGGATTCCTCCCAGGAAAAAGGGGCCAGCACAGAAAGCCCTGGCTGCCCACAGAGTGCCCAGGCTGCACCACACACTGCACCTGGAAGCCAAAGCTGAGAAGCTTTCTGTCCTGGGGCACAGGGGTGCTGTCCCCTTTGGTCAGCCCCACCCCACCGTTGCCGGCCCCTGCGCCCCAAAACCGATACAAATGAGGATTCCTCGCAGGGAAAAGGTGCCAGCACAGAAAGCCCTAGCTGCCCACGGGGTTCCCAGGCTGTGCCACACACTGCACCTAAAAGCCAAAGCTCCCAGGCTTTCTGTCCTGGGGCACAGGGCTGCTGTCCCCTTTGGTCAGCCCTTCCCCGCCATTCCCGGACAGCTCCCTCCCAAAACCAACACAAATGAGGATTCCTCGCAGGGAAAAGGTGCCAGCACAGAAAGCCCTGGCTGCCCACAGAGTGCCCAGGCTGCACCACACACTGCACCTGAAAGCCAAAGCTGAGAAGCCTTCTGTCCTGTGGCACAGGGCTGCTGTCCTCTTTGGTCAGCCCCGCCCTGCCATTGCCGGCCCCTGCACCCCAAAACCGATACAAATGAGGATTCCTCACTGGGAAAAGGTGCCAGTACAGAAAGCCCTGGCAGCCCACGGGGTGCCCAGGCTGGGCCACACACTGCACCTGAAAGCCAAAGCTGAGAAGCTTTCTATCCTGGGGCACAGGGCTGCTGTCCCCTTTGGTCAGTCCCGCCCTGCCATTGCCAGACAGCCCCCCCCAAAACCGATACAAATGAGGATTCCTCCAAGGTAAAAGGTGCCAGCACAGAAAGCCCTGGCTGCCCACGGATTACCCAAGCTACGCCACCAACTGCACCTGAAAGCCACAACTCACAGGCTTTCTGTCTTGGGTCACAGGGCTGCCTCTCCTTTTTGAGCCCTGTGCTGCAATTGCCCATTCCACCTCCCTAAAATTTGTATAAATTAAGATTCTTCCTATGGAAAATGTGCCACCACAGAAAGCTCTTACTGCCCACGGGATACCAAAATTGACCCACCCGCTGAACATAAGAGACACATTGGAAAGTTTTTCTTTCCCGTGTTCAACTGCCCTCAGTCTGTTTTTGAAGTGCTCCACTTAAACCTTCCAGTCCTACTCCAGAAAAACACCGTTAGCCACAGACCTGCCTCATAGGCCTCCAACGAGAGTTTGGAGGGAGGTTGATTGTCCTTTTTCTGCTCTTTCTGTCTGGACAACCTGGTGTTCAAAGTGCCATGCCTTACTAACATGCCACATCCCCTGTTTGCGTGCTCCAATTTATATCACCCAGAGACCACCTGGACTCCATCCCCTGGGGAGTTGATTAGGGCTCACAAGGCAGCTGGGCTGAGCCGGGCTGAGCTGAGAGCAGTTTCTCCCTGCAGTTTAAATCTCTCACAAACGCCCTCAGCTCCATTCAATGATCAGGTGATTAGAACTTGCAGTGCAGCTGGGTTGAGTTGGACTGAGGTGGGAGGAGCTTCTCCATGGACTATAAATCTCCGAGGAAGAAGCTCACTTCCTCTTCTGGTTGTGTCAGAAGGTCTTCAAGGGCAACTGAGCTCCTTTGCTCAGATTTCAGGGTATAGAGAACTTACTGCCCATGGAGTGCCTAGGCTAGCCCAAAAACTGGAATTCAAACCATGAAGGTAAGGGTTTTCTCTACAGAGAAAAGAGAGTGATGTTTGCTTGCAGGAATCATAGAGTTGAAATAGGTAGTCCGGCTCTAAAAATTGAATATGGATGAGGATACCTCCCAAACAAAAGGTACCAGGGTAGAAAGCACTTGCTGCTCATGAAGTTCTTGCATTGTCCGACCAGTTACAGCACAAACCATAACAGTAAGTCTTTTCATACCTGTGGAAAAGTGCTGTTGTTGAATTTCAGGAATCTTCTCCTGAAATGGCAAATTTGGCTCCCAAAAATTCATATGGATAAAGATTCTTCCCGGATCAAAGGTGCCAGGACGGAAAGCTCTTGCTGTCCATGGAGTGCCCAGGCTGGCCCATCAAGTGTACCAGAGAGCCAAAGGTTGCAGGCTTGCTTTGCTGGGGCGAAGGGCTGTGGTTTGTTTTCTTCAGCCCTGCTCTCCAATTGCCAGTCCCAGTGCCAAATGGTGTATAGGAGAAGATTCCTCCCAGACTAAAGGTGCCTGGACAGAAAGCTCTTGCTGCCCATGGAGTGCCCAGGCTGGCCCATCAACTGCAGATGAGAGACAGAGTCCAAGGTCTTTCTTTCCTGCTTGTATCTGCAGTCGCTTGTTTTTTTGCAGCCCTGTGCAGAAATTGCCAGTCCAACTCCCATAACTGAATATGGACAAAGATTCCTTCCAGACAGAAGGTGCCATCACAGAAAGATCTTGTTGTCTATGTGTCATAGGTTTATTTGTTCTAAAAAAACAAACAGGGAATTTTTCTTTCTCCTATCTAACTCTAAAAGGAAGAGGTTGATTGGGTGAGGGTGGTTTGCCTTGGGTGATTGAGCAACACAAAAGAACTATCTAGCAGGCCTGTATTCCAAGCTGATGGCCCTCCTAAAACTGTGGGAAGGGCTGATGTTTTTTTCCTTTTCTTCTCTGAAACCAGGACGCTTGACTTTTGCCTTAAAAGGGAGGGTGTGTGTTGAGAAGGCTCCAAGGTCGTTTCGTTCTCGGTCTCGTCCTCTGGCTGTTTTCTGCCTTCAATTTTGCCTTCGTTTTCTGCATCCTGTTCTGCCCCAGCCTGGACCTGCTCATCGGAAAGGTTTGACCCACCTGCAAAGGAACTTTCTGGGTAGGAGATCACCTTTTCCCTCCTCCTCTCCCGTGTTTGGCGGCGGTTTGTGCCTATCAACTAAAAGGGGGAAATCTTGGCCACAGCCAGCTGCAGACAGCGTGAGTTTTAATGGGAAGAACCCCGTTTTGTCCCCTTTTTCCCCTTCCCCTTGTCAGTGGTGGGGGGGAAATCTCCATCTTCGGCTTCTCCTGCTCACCGGGGCCCCACCTGGCGACCGCCAGAGCCCAACAGCGTCCTTTGCCGACCAACACAGAGCAACTGCAGGCTCTGCTCCTCCAGAGATCCAGCATCGGCCCTTGCTGACCGTGGGTAGAATTGCGCCAAAAAGCAAAAAATACTGAATTCTTTCCCTTTTTGAGAGGGATTTTGTGTGTGTGTGTGTGTGTACACGTGTACAGGATCGTTGTTGTAGTTGTTTTTATGTTCTTTTGTTGTTCTGCCAATACACATATATCTTTTGATAAAGGGCTGTTATTTTTTTCCCTTTTTCCATGCTTCCTCAGTTGAAGCCTCTTAATTTCAGATTTACAATTGCTTAGAGAGAAGAGTGTGATCTTCCTCATGACTCATCCTCCTTAGCAAAACACTTCAGTCTCATTAAACCGAGACAGTTGTTTAAGCCAACACCTGGATATTTTCTAAGGCAAGGTTACACTGGTTTTTTTCCTTAAGATTTGTGGGCAAGTGTTTACAGATGTACCATTTATAATGCACTTTCAGGGAGTGTAACATGTCCTGAATGCTTTGGCTGTGTGGTCTGTGTGAAGATCAGTTCTCCAGTAGGGGCACAGTCAGTCTCTCTGTCCAGCATGGCATTCCTGCATGCCCACTGCCAGGCTGCAACAGTGTACAAGGGTCTGAAAATCAGAGA